CCTGAACAGCGTTTATATACACGCTCAAGCCAACGATCCCATCTGAAGTGGATTTTCTGTCAGGATAGATTTTCGTTCAGATGGCTTGATGGCTATACGCTCAAAAAATGCTAGTTGAATCTTGAGATAACTTCAGATTTCGGTAAGCGTGAACTACAAGAACACGCTTGCCTTGCAGTCTCTTTCTACCTTTTCGACTGTTAATTTACGACTTTCGGTTTCATATATTTCCTTCCTAGTTTTTAAGTTCATCTTTTTTTTAATTACACACACTGCAGCCGTTGCAAGAATTAACTCTTCGCCCAAATGTTCCATCTTGTCGGCAACAATGCACGTTTGGGTGCTCTTCCTTCACATCTGTGTAAAACGAACTGAACGTGTAAACGCCAGATTTTCGTTCAGTTCATCTGCACAGATCTGGCTTGCGCAAGCCAAATCCTGCAGATGGCTTGAGCGTGTAAACGGGATTTAAAACGAACTGAACGTGTAAACGCCAGATTTTCGTTCAGCTCATCTGCACAGATCTGGCTTGCGCAAGCCAAATCGTGCAGATGGCTTGAGCGTGTAAACGGGATTTAAAACGAACTGAACGTGTAAACGCCAGATTTTCGTTCAGTCCATCTGCACAGATCTGGCTTGCGCAAGCCAAATCGTTCAGATGGCTTGTGCGTGTAAACGGGCTTTAACTCGAACTTGCTTAGGTGGCGGCGGAAGTGGCTGCGCCACTCTCTCAAGCCAAGAAGATTACGATGATCTCAACCGGCAATGGAGAAGTTGGAGCCTCTAAGTTAACAGGCGAAGTGCTGGACATTGTTAACAAAGTGCCCGAGCTGGTTAAGGCGATGACTGGCGTCGATATTGCCAAGGTGAGTAGTACTAAGAGTAATTTGATGTAGTTCGGGGGCGAAACACTCACATTGCTTCCAGGTCATAGACAAATCGCAGAAAAACAAGGGCGATTTCTGAACATTTTGCGCTCACATTCCCTTAGTTGCCCTAAAATCAATCCTATGAAGGATTGAGGCTTGAAAGTTTGTGTGTGGTTTTTAACTTTGTCATTTCTTGTCAGGTGCAATATCTGTGAAATTTAAGCCCTTTCTGTGAGATGTTTCATTTACCTGAATAGATCAGTTCCAATTCAGGTTTTTCAATAATCACTGCTTCCGCGAAATTCCATCAATCCACTACCGACAGCATTTTGACTGCTAATTTTCGTTCTAGTCAGTGAAAGCGGCCGCCTAGAAGTGCTCTGGTTAATCAAAATAATCTGCAATTGTGCAAACACGTAAGTCGGTGAAAATTCCGTCTAATCGGCGCATTCAATGGGTAAACTTTTCTTCTGAAGTGTTTCATTTATGCCCAGTACTACGCCAAATCGGACTAAATCTAGTATAAAAGGCTTCTGTGCTGATTTAGACTCAAGATTAACTCTCACGGGCGATTAGGAAGGATTTTCATGGTATATGTACAGTTTAGGTGTTTTTCTGGTTTCCATATTAGCGTGACTGATAATTTAGCCAAAAATATGTAACTCAAGCAGCCCGTTGGCTACTTGCCATATTTATTCCAGTGATATTGTCATGTGTTGCATGCGCATTAATTTTTTGTTTGTTATTTAGTTTTATTCCGTTCTAAGTCACAGATTAATTTATAGTATAGACAATTTAATCAAAGAATTTTCTAACGTTCTGATGGAAATAAATGTTTTCAAAATACATCATCGCAAACACCCCTGGGGAACGTTAGAAAATGTATGGCAATTTAGCTTGATGTTATCAGTGTCTAATGGCACATACAAATCTATTTTTCAATGTTTTGTGTACCTAATAGACGATATATTCGTACGAGGATTCTATTCATTTTTTTCTTGTTGGGTTTCTCAGTGTGAAAACTCAGTGCAAAACATAAAGGGCCTTTATTAACAGATATTTACATATATCTAGGACCTAATAGATCACAACAGTTTCCTTTGCTTCCAACGGACAATCTCAATTTATTTAAACAGTCAACGCGTTTTGGCAATTATACAATAACAAAAGATAAGGTACTTGAGCTGAAAACAGCTAAAATCATATAACAATAATGTATAACTTAAAAACAATGTTGTCATGTAGCCCTAATTTAATAATCACATAAAACTTACCTATGGAGCTTTGCAGAAAAAGTTGCATTCATGGTTTTTTGTAAATAGTTTTATTATTTCCGGGTTGTTTGGCAAGTCGATGTGTTTTTGCTTGAATGTCACAGTCTGGAAGCGCTTAGTTCGTATCTGTTAAACATGCTTGGAATATTTGAGGGGATCAGAAACTCACTCATTGCTAAGAATTAGTTTGTTTTTGAATCTTTAAACTGTGAACATCGGAAGCTAAACAGTTTCAGGATGTGAAGAAAATATCTTGAAAATCATCTATACCTACTAAAAACTCCAGCAAACAAGACATTGACTTACGAAACAACCTGTATGCCGCATCTAAAATATAAAAATTCGCCCTTGGCCAGATTCTATACAATCAATCGCACCTTTGGAATGTACGAGATTAAAACAACTGTACAAACTGCGTTTGCACGGGTAAACAATGTTTTGACTAGCAGCTGAAAAAAATAGTGCTTACTTCTCCCATCTCAGACAAATACCATAATATTACCCATGATTGACTGTAAAAACGCATCACCAAAAATGTACATATTTTGAATTAAAGTCATTAATGGGTTTCAGTCATTTATTGTCTCTATTTATCTATCAAAATACGTTTCGGTGTATTTTTCCACCATCATCAGTTTTTATGTGTAGCGTTGTTGCTGCTTTAAGCCTTGGATGCATTTTTTTTTGAACAAAAAATGCATGCCAAGGCTTAAAGCAGCAACAACGCTACACATCAAAACTGATGATGGTGGAAAAATACACCGAAACGTATTTTGATAGATAAATAGAGACAATAAATGACTGAAACCCAGGAATTAATTTTGATTTGGAATTGAAACACACACACACACACACACATATCTTGAATATGTCTAGCTTTAGTGGTGGTCCTGCAGGAAAATTAGGGAGAAGATATGCCCAAAGAGAAACTTTGTTAAAAAGGCCTCTAGCAATGGTTAAAAAATCAGCGAGAGAGAAATACCTTGTCATGCAGTTGTGAGGCATTCCATGTTAGTGACTAAGAAAACTATAGAATTTGATTTCAACCCAGTTAGTAAATAGTATCCAGTTTACCTATCGAAGGTTACTGTTGATATAAAAATGATCGCATGCAAAAACCCTAAGCGATGCCGGCGCCGAAACTGATTAAAACAGACAACATAAGAAACGGAAAAACTGCCTTATCTTTTGCTGTTGCCGCCGACGACAAACCATCTGGGTTGGTTTCGCTTGTTAAACCTTTCCTAGTAGATCGTGCTTGTAACTGTACATCTTCCTCCTGTAGCCCCTCTTTAAAAACATTTTCATAAGTGCAAAAATGCAACCAAACGTCGCTAAGTAAAAGAAAATATATACGTAAAAGTCATAAGACCCACCGGTGCGATGTCCCTCTAATCCTAGGAAAATGATACTGGTATCAGCGCCCATATAGTGGATGTTCACACTACTGTACATGCGTTTAAGATATTTGAGCACCTCGCCAGAGTCCCAAGATTCATCAGGGTTTCGACATCTTTGGCAGTTGCGTTTGTCCGGGAACTCCATCTTGGGAAACTTGGGATCTTCCGTTAGATCGCCAGAGAGGCGTTTGTTCACTTCATTGTGCGCTTGCCACAGCCATAAAACTGCATCCTCCAGCGATGCGACTGCCTCAATTTTCCTTCGAATGGCCATTTCCTGGAAATGTTCGCTGCAATCCGCACAGCCGAAGAAGTGCTTCACGTATCCATGCATCGCTTGTAGAGCGAGGCGCGGATTGGTTGATCTATTTTTCGCATTCACCTCGGCCACATTGACTGTGAGATAGTGGAACATTTTCCATAACCCGCAAGGGTAGCCTCTGAACTCGGGGCTGCTTCCTTGGCATCCTAGCAAATAGTTCCATTTTAAGCCCAGTGACTAGGGAAGGGCAGGGTGGATTGGGGGCTTTTTTGTTTCAAGCAAAAAGAACCCATCCTGTACTTACCCAGCCACTTTTGCGGAGTCGAAAACACTTGTCTGGATTCCGCTTCCGCTTCCTTAATAAGCTTGCCGATTTCGTTGCCTTGCACTACTTGGCTAATTTGGGCCATTGAGTGGATTTGTTTCAGCAGCTTTTTGCCATTGAGGCCCAAGGGAAAGTAATCAGCTAATACCTCAAGGTAGTTCCTCAAAGCGGTCAACTTTTCACCCGATATTTCTTTCGAACTGCCCACTTCTCTTTTGAGGGAGTATCTAGGCAGAGACAATTATTGCGATTTTTTCATGCACATTTTCAGATGGGTGGACAGCGATAAGCCATCAGTATTTATTACTTGGATTAAGGCAAACCAGTCATTTCCCCGTTAAATGTTTAAACACTCTCAGTAAAGGTCGTTTATTTGATCACAGTTGTTTTTACGAGCTTTAAATTCGACGTTTTCTTTACAAACTTCTTTTTGGGTATTTTGCCTCAAAAATTTTTGTTTTTAAAAAAATACGGAATTTCCTCACGTCTTTTATTACAGATTGATAAATAGTGCTCCTATTTCGCAATAAGAACGAATTATTTATCGAAAAGTAATCAAGAACTATCACCTAGAGGGCTTTGCTATCTTGCGACACACTTAGGCTCAAGTTGTAAGAGAAAATTCCAATTAGTTCCATTTATTAACATGTTCTTTTTTAGGTTCTTTTGATAACGATAGCAGAAAATAGCTATCGAAACGTCAAGGTAATTTTTCAAATTAATTTCTCAACTAATTGGAATTTTCTCTTACAGCTTGAGCCTAAGTGTGTCGCAGGATACCCTCTAGGTGATAGTTCTTGATTACTTTTTGATAGATAATTCGTTCTTGTTACGAAACAGGAGCACTATTTATCAATCTGTAATAAAAGACGTGAGGAAATTCTGTCTTTTTTAAAGACAAAAATTTTTGAAGCGGAATACCCAACAAGAAGTTTGTAAAAAAATGAATCCGCCTCAACAATATAGAACTTATCTACAACTTAAATTCGATGGTTGCGATCTTGCGTTCAAACTGATGATTTTTGCCGACGTTTTGCAAGCACGTGTGTCTTGCATCTGCAGATGTAGTTTGCTCGAGGGGGCAGCAAAAAAATGGAAAATTCAACAAAATCCATTGTTCTTACCTCAAAGCAGTCTCAAGGTCCATTTGGAAGACGGAATCCTGCATGTTCTGCACTAAGTAACTGGGTGGTTGCTTTTCCTCATCCTCAGCCTCGTCGTTTGTCTTGTGCGGATTTTTGGGGAAAACGATATCTTTCCCTTTGAGATTCTGTTCAATTGCGTCGAGCATCCCCTGCCTGTCGTAGCTCTTTGGCACTAAGAGAACCGGGTGTAAACTTCGGTTGATTATAAATAAATTTGGCAAAGGTCCACTGGGAAGACTTAAGGCCAATTTTGTGTTGTTGGTAAAGGCGTATCGTGAGGTGATATTGGGGCTGCTGTGCAAATCGAGAACCAGTTCAGGCCCTATCAATGAGGTTGGCTCGTGGACGGTCAGAATTGCATACTGGACTGCAGGGGCTGCGCCCTCAAAAATCCCATCTAGACTGTTGGAGGTGAATGGTAACATATTGGGAAAGTGCGCGCCTCTTCCTAGCGTCTGCTCATTAACAATTACTTTGACCAAGTCATGTCTGTGATCCTCAGCAGTTACGCCTCGATGCATGGCAAAGCCGTAGTTATTTGGCTCCTCTTGGAATCCTTCACGGAAGTACCGGAGGTTCGGATAGGACATGATCTCATAATCTCTGCATAGGCCGTGGTTGGCTTCACTGGCGCAATCCAGGGCGGCGACAGCCACTAAATCCGACCACCCCTTCACATCGCTGGCAAAATCCTTCCAGGAGGGCGCAAATCTTTGGCAAAAGCCACACCAGCTGTTGTAAAACTCCACAAGCCACGCCCGATTGCTGTTGGTGACTGATTGCTTGAAATTAGTTGCCGTCAGTATTTCCACGTTATCCTTCTGGTTGTATAATCCTTGGGAGTCCACTGAAGCATTGTTTACCAGTTCGATATATACGGCTGCGATAAAAAGGACATGCTGGATACTGAATATTCTGGAAGTCGGCATTTGTGGGCACTGACTCGAACTGAGGGCAACTGATAAGGAATGTATGGAAACAACACTCGGAAAATCAAGCACTTTGCCAAACCAGCAATATTAAAATTGGCATATTTTTACTATTTTGTTTCAAATGCTTCAAATGGCAGAATAGGTTAGTTGCAAACGTCTTCTTCTATTAACTGGCATGTAGCCATTGTGGCCAACCTTTCAAACGCGTATTACCGTACAAGCCATTTGAAAATACCGTATTTTACCGTACCAGATATTCAATTCTTTTTCAAATGTCTGGTTCAAAAGAACCAGAAAGGTCCAGAAAAAACAAAAAAGGTTTTCAATCTGGATTCCACAACTCCAGATGAATACTGAGAACAGGAAATTACCGTACGAATGGCCACCCTGGGTGGTTCAGACAAAATAATCGTGACAGCTCTGGCCCCGGTAAATGGCGCGTAGTTTGAACATTTGCAATTAGCGCCGTAAAGTATTTTTGTAAACCATATTTAAATAAATTGCATCAAGTTTCATCAACACTTCCCAAAATGTGTTGATGGTTTCAAATAGAAAAGAAAAATTAAACAGATTTAAATCATTTTGAGCTTTTTATGAAGTTTTTTTGAGCAAAATGTGTGCTTTTCCATAAAAAACTTAATTCACTATTAAAAATTGTAAAAGGACAAGGAATAAATAAGGGAAATAGAGATACTGTGCTTTCAAGCAGATTCGGTCTAGTTCTCATTATGTTGAATAAAGAATTTGGAGTTTATTTTCAGTGCATTTTTATTGGAAAAAGGCAAACATTTTAAAATAAACCATAGAGAAGTTTCGTTCTCTACACACTAAATTTCTGAAATAAACTACAGGTATGCAATCAAAACATGGAATCTCTCATTATAAATGTACATCTAAATTTGGAATATAAAATAATAACAATAAATACTATGGGACATCGATTGGTGGAATTAAACCAAATCTGAGTCTTAAAATTCCACAAACGGAAAATGTGGACGATGAGAACAGTCAATTAATCCTACACAGTTAAAGATGAAACTGACCTGGATGTAAATTAATTAATTGGTGTTTTAATTGCCATTTTATCCACTCAGCTTACTTGGCCTCAACAGAACATTGGAAAGCCTGTTTTGGCCCCCCAAGCAACGAAATCCTTCAACGAGAAAACTTTGTTAACAACATCAAAATACACAGACCGACTGGCCAAAAATGTGTGGAGTTTTCAGATTCTACTGAACACTGACTGAAGGTGTTAAGCAAATTCAAACAACCCCTTTGATGTGCCAAAGGTAAAATTTCACCAAGTCAATCAAACTGGCAGGGTGCACTCAACACTTTGGACTAATCAATCTTATGAAAAACGCTCCTTTTACTTACACCCTCTACTCAATCCACTGGAACCTGTCATTGATCCTCCACTGAATCG